TGGAAGCGAGGCATGAAGAAATGCACAGAGCGATTAGGTAGAATCGGTGTCTTCCGTCTTTCAGGTTGGAGTCCGAAAGACTCTACAACTGGTTGGCTGGAGACATTAAAGAATATGGCAACTAACCGACAGCAGCGGCACTCTTGTCATTTCTTAACAAGGCAGAATGCTTGAAAAAAGGTATGCATGAACACTTAGATTGTGTGCTCTGTGTGTTGATCATAGAGGTTTTTTCTTTGCCTCCCTCCAAGTAGACCCCATCCCTCTCCATCTAGTGCTTTATCCCTCGATTTGTGTACATTGTGAGCTTGGCAGCGATCAGTGAAGCTCGCTTCACTGTATCTCGCTGTACGATGATGATGATGATGTTGGAGGAAATCACGTAGAATTCAACAGAAGAAATACACGGAGCGAATGGGTAGAATAGGTATCCCTCGTCTTCTACGTTGAGGTCCAAAAGATTAACCGGCAGGTTGCAGACCTTTCAGTACATGGCAACGAACCAACAGCAGTGGCGTTTTTATCAAACCAGAATGCTTGAGTGTGTACTCCCAGTTAGATTATGTATTCACTGTGTTTATTTTCCTACCTTCCTCTCCTCAAAATGAGTTCAGTCCATGTCTACCTTTCACGTTGTCACATGTCTTGTGTACATTTTGAGTTTGGTAGCGTTCGATGAAGTTTGCTTTACTGTATGTCGCTGTACGGTATTGATGATATCTTGTCAAATTCTTTTATAAATCCGAGCATCTCAAACAATTCCTGTGAAGGAGCCGTACTCTTTTTGTGCGGAAAAGTTTTTTCAAAAAGTGAAAAAAGCTTACTTACATCGGTGAACCACCTCGAGAAGTTAAAAAAAACCGGGTGTGTGTGATTTAATCCTTTCCTTGAAAGACCGATACAACGATGCACCGGTTTTACTCTGAATGGTGATGACCCAGTGGTGTAGTCGCTTTCACCGACGTTCTTTGGACCCTATGGTCAGGGGTTCGAACCCCGCCACCTAGCTTTGGTGGTAGGCAGCTTTGCTGTCGTCCGGTTCAATTCAACCCTTATCCTAGTGGAGTCTTATGTGGTTCACCACCCCAAGTCCCGGAGCTTAGGTTGCGGGTTTCTGTCACTGATTAGCAGGTCTACCGACTATGGTGTTCACCCCGTCTGCTGTTAATCACACAAAAATGTCTGGTAAAAAATAAAATAGGTAGAATATGATAGCAATAGCGAACCACAAACGACGAGAGTTTTCGAATTATTTTCGTCTCACGCGGTCTTAGTCGGCCCTTAAGCGCAACTATTTCAATCTAAAGGCTTTGATGGGATCGCCGCGTACTGTGTATACCGGTCCAACAAACGCTCCATCGTGCAATATTTCCCCAATCTGACACGAGCTAGAAGCGTCGACAAGATGGACGACAATAGCAGATATGGCTCAAAACTGGGGGCACTGCCGTACTTTGTCGTTGTCACGTTCTGAGACTGACGTTTCTGTATCGTTCACATACGTGATGTTATCGTTTGATCATAAATGACGGAACAATNAGCCAGGTCTTAAAGCGAACCCTTTGGAAAGTAACATCAGCGGTGCATAGTAATTGATCGAGTCGTTTTGAATAAGCTCTAAACTAGAGGTCACTCTCACCACGATCGAATATACTCTTCGGATTGTAATTTTTCTACGATCATCCTCTGGGAACCTCCGCTCTTATGCAAATCGATAAAATTTAATTTCTCGCCAAAGGTCAGTATTGTCCTTCTTGTTCACCGTCGTATCATATTTTACGGGTGCCCGCTACTTGAAATGCCGTGGCATAATCGTAGTTTGTAAGTTGAGCGAACAGCAGTCTAGTCATTTATAAAATTATAAAATTCAAGTGCTTTTGAAGTTGCCACCATCGTGAGTGTCAGTGGCTCTTCTTAAGGATAAGATCAGTTGTGATCGCTCGGATTCGGTGGCCGCTCCTCGAGGGTACTCTTTATTAGAGAAATACTGTTCATACGCTCTACTTTATTTTCCGTTTAAAATTCACTATCAGACATCAATTCATGTGAGTAGTTGCATGTTGTCTATGCGTAGACTGTTGTTCAAAACTTTGTTTTGTTCTCAATCTCCTCATACTAGAAATTTGGTGTTTCGTTGCTTCTGATAGCACTGTCTCGTCAGGTCTCGGGTAAGGTTAGGGCCTTTGATGAATTCACCCTCGTGTCCTGTCAACAGTGCGGTACGACAGGGTTGCCCTATCTCTCCGTTTCTCTGCAACTTTGCCGTAGATGACGTCCTGCAAAAAGCGTTACTTAACCTAGCGCACTCTGACGTGGAGCCTTCTCTAGGAAACAGAATCTATGAAATTACCTTACTGAGTGACAACGCACCGGCGATTCCAAACACACTGAGTCACTTGGCACTTGAGTTTGTTCGTTATGACATGTGTTTTGCACATTCAAATTGTAAGGTGTTGTTGGAAGATTGACAGGAACCCGTTCCTACACTTCCGTTGGGTAATGACACCCTGGAAGTAGCCAGTAGCTTTATCTACGTTGGGAGTTGCATAACAACTGGCGAAGGTGTGGGCAAAATCTCTCAATGCGTAGTCAACGTAAAGTTATCCTTTACCAATCCGTGACGTATCTCTTTCACTGAAAGGGCATATATATTGCGCAAAGGTACGCGCTGTGTTGCTCTACGATCGCGAAACTTGGCCCCTCCGACCAGATCATGTTCAGCGACTTTCCGTCTTCGACAACCATTGTCTGTGCAACATCGTCCGCGTATGGTGGGAACATCACGCGAATGACGATGAGGTCGGACGACATGTGTTAGAGTCGGTAGTCATCCACTGCATGATCTTAGGTGGCTGGGGCACGTCATAAAAATGCCTGAACAACGACTACCCTGCCGTGCGCTATTGGCAGACTAGTCCGGGCTGGAAGAAACAGCTAGGTGGACAGGCTATGACTTAACATAGAGGGTTGTAGCAATTTTGTCCGGATCCGTCGGAGCTTCCAGGCTAGACCCCATAGATTTAGGTCGTCGTTGGTTGGAGACACTGCGAGACATGACATCGAACGGAAATCAGTGGCGTAAATGCACCCTTTCTTAACCGCAATCCCAAAAGTAAAAAGACAAAAAATGTTATTACTACCTAAAGCATATCGTTTTTGTGTTGTTGTTTTTTGCTCTGTTTCTGTTTTTCTCCTTCAATCTTTGACTATTTTGACGCCGTATCTTTTAAGATTGGTGTTAAACATAGAAATATGTTTTCTTCCTATCGTAGATTTCCGATGATTCCGGCGTGTCCAGATCGCCGTCCAATGAAATACAGGCAAATGGCAACTCGACCCTAGATGACACGGCCTTGAGCATCCATTTGCCAAGGATGATGAATACTAGCAATCTGAAACTTGGAGCCCAGAAGTTTTTCGATCCGTACGTCAGTCCGGAACAGCATCTACGTCTGAATCAAGTAGGTAACTGAGTAGTTAATTGTTCTGGTCGTCGCTTTTTTCGTTCCTACTGATATATATATGCGTCTACACACATCATGTTTATTTCAGACAATTAATCGTAGTTTGGCACTAAACATTACAGCGAACATTGTCACCTAGTGAACCGCCCCATTCTCCCAAGATAAACATTTCATGCACTTAGACTCACTGGCTTCTTTTCACTTACTGATCGAACCGAGTAATTTATCCTGCGACTAACCCCATGTTAATACGAAGCAGTTAACGTTCTTACTGGCTGGTCATGGAGGCGATTGACATAAAAGTTAATTTTGAAAGCTTTTTATGTGAATTTCCCTTTAAAATTCACCGGTTGGTTTTCGATTTTATTCATTTCTCTCGCGTACTGTGCCTTCGTGGCGCAATCGGTTAGCGCGTTCGGCTGTTGGTGGTTCGAGTCCACCCGGGGGCGTGGAACCTTTTGGTGCGAAACAACTCGGCTATCATCCGATAGCACACCCTATCTACCGGGCATGAATATGGTTCGCCAGCCCCAATTTTTGGGATTGGGATTACTGTTTCCCATAGTGGTGCAATAAGTTACCGCCTTTGGGATTGCCTATTTCCCGAAAAATCTCGACTGCACGACAAAATTCTGAATCCATGGGACAAACGGGTTATTCTCTCGTCGCTTATATCGCCTATCAAATTTCTCATGATCGTTCGTTTATTGCTTCGTTAACAGAAACGATGCACCCGTAGCTAGAAGCTGTTTAATTTACTTCATTTTGCAGACATGCCAACCGTGACATTTTTACCTCGGTTTAAAGGAGAAAACAGAATTTTACCAGTTCGATAGTAATTTATAACTATCCTTCTCATTCAACTACCAATTACTTGTAAGCAGTGATGAGCAATAAGTTATCGTTATTTTTTTGACTGATTATTCATCAAACTTATCACATTTGTCTAATCTACCATAAACCCGGCAAGCACCAGACTGGAATTTCACTCGCCTTAGAGCCTACCAGTGGTGCATATCCATCGACTCATCCGGGGTTTGATCGCCAGATCCTCTCACCTATTACATGTGTTAACACTGCTCCAACCAGCTTTGCTCTGTTTTCACTGACAGTGAAATAGCTATTGACTGGACACTAACAATCATGAAGTTTCATGGGTTATACCTCTGTTTGGGCCGTGTAGATATGTGCAACTGATGAGTTCTAAGCCGAGTGCTTCACGATTTTCCGTTTGCCTAAATGAACCGAATATTGTGCGTGAATTTCCTTATATGGTTACCTGCTATTAGTTGCCCCGCATTAGATTCCGAAACATGCTCATTAAGACATGGTGCAGTGGTTTAGTCGCTGCCACTGGTGTGCTTTGGACCCTGTGGTCCGAGGTTCGATCCCCGCCACCACCACCCAACCTTGGTGGTAGGCAGCCTTGCTATCACTCGGTTCTATACCACGCCTGACCTATCGGGGCCTTATGTGGTTAGCCACTCCAAGTTCCGGGGCTTAGGTTGCAGGTTACCATCACTGAACAGCAGGTCTACGTGACTGTTCATCACACACTGGTGTGTAATGAAAAATGGAAACGTTTGGTTTTTATCGATTCATCTGCAAACCTGCACAGATCATTCAAGGAAGTGATTTATTTATTGGATGTACTGGGGTTCTCAAACCTTTCTTTATACTGTACCCTGTGCTTTTCGGTGTATTTTCACGCTCCCAATAATCTGTTTATTCTTGCCCATGCTCACAGACCACTGGGACCCTGTCGCCCATTTCCCAAACTCCCCAAACGGTAATCAGACTACCACATGGCGTGACACAGAGCATGCTAGATGACTCCATGGTGGATCATTTGCGCGAGGAAAACAAACAGCTGCTTTCGCGCCTGACACAAATGCGTCATTGTGTGCAAAAAGCGATTGAACAAAAGCAGGAGGCTGAACTAGAACTAACTCGATTACAAAGTCAGTCGGTGTGCTTGGGAGCAGCTGGCGATCAGAGTCGGGTATGTATGTGTCTGATGACATGACTCTTTAGTAATCGAATGTGAACGTTTTCTGTGGTGAATAGAATGTTGTATTCTGTCGTTTTTATTTCGTCTTTTATAAATTGCTTCCACTGTATTTGTTTTTTTACATCAGCTTGTAAACAAGCATGGTGCCAGCGCCACAATAATAATAAAAACTATGACAGTGACAATAACATGGGGCACGTGGGTCGAAATATAGAGCATAGTAGGAAGCAGATGGAACAGTTGAAATAGAAAAAAGAAGGAAACTGGTATAACAAGATATTTTTGTGTTTCATCGTACACCTTTTGGTATTTGTTTGTTTTTACGGGGCACGGGATTTCGACAGACAAACCGTACAGCATTCGCGCCACTGACTTCTATTCTGGTCCATATCTCCCAGCATCCATAACCAACGACAATCCTCATCCCTTGGGCCCCAACCTGGAAGGCGGGCTGCACCAACCACATCCAAAGCTGAGGCTAACTTCTCCATACCCTTACGCCATGTCATGGTCTGACTGCCGTGGCGCTTCTTCCAAACTTGCCCGGCACGTGCAAAGACATCACGGAAAGCTAGTCGGTGAGCAGACATACGCANGGACGCCACGAACCGCGGCGATTTACACCCTTCTCTTAAGGGACAGTAGGATGTCATGGCGGCGCCACAGGTGTCGCAGGTTGGCGAAAGCTGCTGTAGCCTTCACTATTCATAATGTGATCACCTCCCTAACACCACCACCAGCTGCGAACAAGCTCCCGAGATACTTTAAGCTCTGAACTACTTCCGGCTGATCACCACAGGTGAATGCAGGCACAGACTCCTATCAATTTTAAACAAGCACTTTGCACTTGGAAAGTGCATAGCGCGTAACATATCCGGATACCTCTATCGCCAAGCGGTTCAACGCGTTTTGGACTGCCTGTGTGTTGTCACAGAACAAGATAATGTCATCGGCATATTCCAAGTCAAGGACTCTGTTCTCTGGGAGGAGTTCGACTAGACAAAGCATTCTGTAGAGCATCCTCTATGACAAAGTTGAAAAGAAATGGGGATATAGGGCAACCTTACCGAGCTCCACTGGAGACGGCGAACGGTGGCGAAGTAGGTCATAAGCCCTAACCGGACCTGAGGTATGACGATACAACCCTTAGAGGATCAACACATACTTCTCAGGTACACCATTCCTCAACAAACAGTTCCATAGTGCGGTCCTATCGACAAAGTTGAAGATCGCACGGATTTCTAAGAATACAATGATCATTGGTCTTTGGTAGGCATGACGGTATTCTTGCAGCTGTCGGAGGGTGAAGATTTGATCCATGCATCGACGACCGGCACGAAACCAAGCCTGATCCTCGCGGGTCTGCTCCTCACGCGTAGTGTACAATCGGCGGAGGATGACGGACGCCAAGAGCTTTGACGCTATTGGGATAAGGCTTATACCCCTATGATTGGCGCAGTTGTTGCATCGGCCCTTTTTGAAAATGGGGACAATAATCGAATCCCCCCCCCTACGAGGAGGGGACCTGCTCGGTGTTTCAAACTTTAGAGAACAGAACTTGTAGTTCTCTAACAAGCGTTGTTCCACCATCGTTAAATAGAGCTTGGGAAAGACCATCGGAGCCCGGCGCTTTGTGACGTCCCGAGGCTTGGATCTCCTTACGGATTTCCGCCTCAGAAGGTGGGTCTGTTGATACAGACCATGGGACGTGTGCCGGAGTAACTGTGCGAGAAGCTGACACTGGTGACCAGCTAAACTGTGCCTTGAATTGCTCCGCCTAGCGTGCAAGACATCGCTGTTGGTTGTGAATGGGCGAACCGTCAGCTTCGCAGATCGTTTCACTCACACCCAAGGTTTTCCTATCGGTGAGCCGGATGAGCTGGAGCAGCTTACGGGAGTTTCCCATGGTGGTAGCACGTTCCATCTCTGACGCGCTCTGAGACCACCAGATCTCGCGGTCTCTGCGTAGGCTTGCATTAAGTTCACATCTCTTTGCGAGTCGTGTTTGATTATGCTCGCTGTCGGTCGGGATTGTTCGACATGCGTCAAGAAGGCGTGATAGGGGTGCACTATCAATGAGAGCTTACTTTCAATTTCGCTTCCAAGTGACTTACTCCTTCGTGAATATAGGTAAGCTTTGTAGGTGAATTCACCTTTGTTGCAAACCTGTATGATACCGGCCGGGTTTCTGGATCACAAATGGTGAGCCAACTACTAGTTTTTTGGTGAGCCGTGAATAAAGGTACTCTTAGACTCATTAAATAAGCGGTCGCAGATGGTTAGCTGTGGTGAATTTGTTTACTCCGTTATCGTTGCCCACTAAGATGCACCTCACAAGTCCAGACAGCACCGCTACGTGACAATCGCGACCTGACACTTGACAAGATCACTAATCCTGTCGTGCTTTGTCTACCCCACGTGTTACTCCGGAAGAGGCAAGCGAACTGTATAATTATCCCTTCGGCTCGTTTGAAATAACTCTACTGTCTTTCAGGTTGTGCCTACATGTGCGAGGACTAGCAGCGCAAAATCAAGGGAAAAGAGCGAAGATACTGTTGGACTGGATGGCCGAATGGCAGAAAGCTCCAAACCGTGCCGGTTACACAGCTTCGTTTCTTATTCACACGAAGCTTTTCGGATAATAGTCTCCTAGAAGTTGCATAGAGATCGCTTACCGGGCGTAACTGATTGTTTGCGACTTCTTTTTCAGTAAATAAACGGCCACTGATTCGTGGTTAAGTATCTAAGTGGCCGCTCTTCTGTCCGCTACTTGGAGACCCAGTCTGTAATGTAGAGTTCTACTGGCGGTAAACTTGTGCTGCCTTATAGCATCCGATGCTGATGGCCATTCGTTAACAATATGGGGTTAATCTCAAAGTGTTCTGTTTTATACAAAACACAATCGTAATAAGTTAATCTTTGTACAAAGTGCTTAGAGGATACTGCTCATTTGTTTCCATCAAACTGTTCTATTTTCAATCGATGCCTACTTGCGATTCTAGATTTCATTCTGCTGATATTTCCATTCTGATAGCTTCCATGCATTGTTGTTGGGAAAACAGTTGATCCCTCCTCCTCAAACTTTATCGATTAAATTTTATACTACCATTACTTTTCCCTAAAGCTGTCTACTTCTTGAGTTATTCTGTTACTCTGGGCTTTTTGTAAAATTGAATTTAACGCCACGACCTACCTCACCCAATACTCTCCTCCGATTGATTGTTTTCATCGCAGCTGATACGCTCTACCGAGCCAAAGGCTCTATACAGCGGTGTTCCTCGTCTATCTCGACATGTTTCTATTCTATCTTTTGACGGTCGTTTTAGACGATGATTTTTTTGATCGAACAATTACGCATAGACACCTGGATAACAATTGTCTTAAAAAATAAATTAACTTAACACATTCTTTCCATAACACTTCCATCAGATGGCAACAGACTACTATTTCAACTATCAAACAGCTTTCTCTCACGGGATCGTAATAGCCTGAATAGTCTGTCTAAAGTTATCCTTTATATATCATTAACATCGCTTCTGTTATATATCCATGCATAGCGAAACGCGAAGAATGTCCAAATCCTCATGCCACTTGTTGTTTCATTTTCCCCTCGTTTGTAGATGAGCGAAGGATTGCAATCCTTTTTGGAACACGAGTCCCGACTGCAACACATGGAGACAATGGAACAGTTACGACAACAAATCTATGAGTTAGAGGAGCAGTTTGCCACAAAACACGACACTCTGATCCGTACTGAAACGGCCTACCAACAAGTGCAGGCGGAAAATGCCGAGCTATCTCAACGGGTTGTAAGTTTTCTGCTCTCACTACATCGACTACCTTTATTACTTAGACCACCATGCTTCGTAGTCTATTGATCTAGGACTATCCAAACCATACTATACCTGAACTGCGTCCAGTATTTAAAAGACTCGTAGACACGAACCCTCAACTCAACTTCCACTTACCAATAAATCGTTGGTGGACATGTATTAATGGAACGAATAATGCGAAAGAAAACTAGCATACTTGAAATTACGAGGCATCCAGCGTCAAGCAGCAATGTTCGCGATGCGGTCACCGAAAGTATTGCGATGAATGTGCATTCATGACGATGATTAAGGGAAAGGTATCACTGAACAGTGATAAACCGCCATTGGTCACTGCCGAACTTGACTCAGTTTTGGGGGTTCACCGGGTTGGTTATCTGGTTGACAGTCATCATACCATCAAATCGGATGATCGAAGAGATAACAGCATAACACAGAGGAGGTGCAAGACATCGTGTAGAGAATCCAATATAGTCTATAGGGGTCGACCACTGGCTCCAGTGGGAAACTGCGGTTAACTAAAACTCTGCGCCTAACCTCAGCACCGTTTGTCCGGTTGCTCTACCAAGCTCGCGCAACATTGCGTAGACATTGGTGTTTGAACACCGTCAGTCTATCTAATATCCTACTTTCATAATGGCCAAGTTTCTGCGCCGTGTAGCAGCACCAGCCGAGACCCTCGCAGCATATGCCCAACCCTTCACAGATAGCCTGATATCACGACGGCGCCACAGATGTCTCAAGTGGACAAATGCCAATCGAGTCTTCTATGTGCATGTCGACACTTCATCCGTTGGTTTGTGCATATGTTACGCATGTGACCAAATATGTTACCTCGACGCGCGTTGCTTGTCGACACAGATGTTGGGTGGAAAAATTAAAGGTTGGTCAAACTGAGACCTGATTCGAGGGGATGAAAACTCTGACCAGGGGATTCGGTCATGTAGTAATTCGCGTTAGGCTTCGTCGATGGGGACCAACTGTCGATCAGTACAACTGAGACATGGAATGATATAGTTGAGTCTCTCGTGCCTCTGCTCAATTTCCTTGCAACATAGATCTAACTGAATTATCTGTTTTCACCACACCGTATTCAGCATTTCAATCTTCGCTTTACTCCTGTATTCAGATGAGCAGCCAACACACAGAAAAGAAAACTGCCGAAGGATAGTGCATAGTTAAAGGTTTCAAGAGCCAAGCTGTAAAAACTGAAACTTTTGCAAGGCATACTTTTTTTGTTGCTCGTGTATGCCGCTGCGTTTTGAGCAACCGTATCGTAAGAAACTCCCGTCAATCGGAGTTCTGATTTCCTGTTTTACTGAGCCTAATACCACATCAATAAGACCCATAAAATGCAATTATTGGTGAGCACGGCACGCTTTGTTTTGATTAGCTAAAATAGAATCTTGTCATTTTGTTGACGAATTTGAGTGGCTCTGGACACGTCGAATCTATAAGGTAAAATTGTCTACGGAAGTCCGACCATATCTCTTAGGTCATTGCAGCGAAACAAGTGAAGGCTCATTTGGTGCACATTTCTCGCTTGGTTGCCATTCTGACATTGGCAACCTAGGTAAAGTTTTTCTACCCCTTTTATCGAAAGTGTTCAGGTCCCACAACAGTTGAGGCTTGTCGAAACGTTGGGACTTACACTCAACCAAAGTGAGTGGCACGGACGCCTTAGATGACTTGTGCTGGTGAAAGCTTAGTCTTCTCATTGCGTGAAAACATCATTCCAAATTCGTCCATCCAAGGGATGTATACGCGCTCAAGCACGGACACCCCCTCTATTCATTGCCCGGACAACGGTAATCTGGTTATTATCTGCCCGATTCAGTAGTACTGCTTCAAACTGTAAGAGTTCGAAATGCACATCAAACATATCCACTTCCTGTCTGGAGAGGATTTAATATTATCCGGGTATCAGCTCAATCATTATCATTATCATCCAAGATTAAACAATTTATCAGTTTCAGGTGTTCAATTAGCATAATCATGAGTTTTGGGTAAATACAGTCACCCACTGGATCGACCTCCATAGATTACGTTGGCTGGGACATGTGCTACGCATGTCACCAGGTAGG